CCCCGATATATTAAGAAGACTGGGAGGGGAGTAAGGAAGTTGTAGCTGTACGATAAACAATTAAGGGACGTTAAATTTGATAATAAAGGTGTCCTGAGATTAAGGGTGTGCGCGGTGCTGGTCGGTGCGGTTTGAGAGAAAAATAGAAACCGTATGGCGGGTGACGGATTGATAAAAGTGTCACTAAAATTTGCCATTTTCCTTATCAAAAATCGGCGGTTCGGTTTGCAAATAATGACGGATTTGCCTTAGCGGTTCGGGCGGATTGGCGGTTTATAAAAAATATAATTCAAATTACAAAACTTAAATCAAAGAGTAAAAAAAAAGACGAGCGATACCTGTAGGTCAAATATATAAATAAATAACAAAACATATATCTTTCTTCTGATGCAGCAAGTGTAGCAACAACATGATAATATCAACGACTATGCCATCAGTTCATTACAAGCATCTGTGGAAGCTACAATGATCAAATACAATACATAAAATTAATATCATTTAGCGTTTACAATATATTGAATATGTTTATTGTTGAAAAGTATTTTGGTTGAAAAGTGAGCTGATGCAAGTTTGCAACATGGCCAGAAAAAAAAAAAGATTGAAAAGTGAATTGGAATCCAACTTTATTTTGGATTACTGACATCTTGAATTCCCCTCAAGTAGTAATGTAATACTATATTCTAAGGTATAGAACAACAAGCAAACTTAAGTAAAAAAGAATTTTTAGAATCTTATAAAACATGATTTAATAGCGGTGCGGGTTGGTGCGGTTTGGAAGAAAAATAGAAACCAGCGGATTGATAAAAGTGTCACTAGAATTTGCCATTTTTCTTACCAAAAACCGGCGGTTCGATTGGAAAATAATAACGAATTTGCCTTGGCGGTGCGGCTCGGTGCGGTTTTGGCGGTTTCGGCGGTATTATGCACACCCCTAGCCGAGATTGCTTAATGGTGTTGAGTTGAGTAATAAGAGATGTGACCGCCAATCAGACAAGATCGTAGTTAAAGGTATAAAATTAATTAAGAATGTTCAATTGGGACAAGATACTAAAGACGATGCTGTGGTCCACCATGTTTTGTTTTTTGTCATAAGTGATAATAGTCCGTCAGATTCCGTCTCCACACCTGACAAGATATTTATTGGAGTTGGCGAGGGTAATCCTGAGACCTGGATTGTTGATCCTGACCAGTCCAATCGGTTTCGGATGCTAAAGAAAATGAGATTCAAGCTCGTTTGTGGCAAGGACAAAGAGTACGTTCGTCATAGGATAGAAGTTGTGGACCGGTTCTTCCCAGTTGATGTTTGGACGGACTACAAAGATACGCTGTTGGGAAATGTTGGAAGTATTCAGAAGGGTGCCATATATTTAGTGGTTGCTACTGTTAGTGGAAAAGAATGCAAAATTACTTTAAGGAGTCAAATGTACTTTAAGACTGTTTAGAATTATAATTTTATGTATTTTTATTTGTAATGTTCAAATTTTAAATGGAGGTGGACGATATAAAAACTGGTATTGTTGAAGGTGTTTCAGCAAGTGATTTCAGTTGCATTGAACTTGTGTTACCTAAATTATTTTCTCAATTGAGGTTAAGATACAAACAAAAAAGTATTAAGGTTGATAAAATATTGATAAAATATTCCCCCATTTGCGCACCTAATGCCAGTGGGTTGGTCAAAGTAAATGTTTATGATCGGAGGGTAGATGGTAATGACAGGCTGCAGGCGTGGTTTATTTTCCCGATGGATTGTCAATGCAATTTAGTCTATTATGGAAATGGTTATTGTTCAATTAACGACAAATAGGTGCCATGAATGGTGAAGTATCGACTTGAAAATTTGAATATGAAAAGGGGGATTACGTATTGTAAAATGAAGGGGTATCTGAAGTATTCTACGAGTGACATGCCAGAAGATTCGCAAATGAGGGCCCCCTCCATTATTGTGTTATCTAAAAAATATACTAATAATAATGTTGATGTTTGGCATTGTTCTCCAAAGAAGGCCATTTCAATTCTGGCACGGACTAAGTTTGTTGGTTTACCGGAGAGGCGAAGAGATTTGTTGTTAGGAGATTTTGGAGAAAGTGGTTCAATTATTCATGAACGCAGAGGTCATCTGAGTTTGTCAGAGATTGATGTACGCAGAGGTGGTGATGACCCTAGTGATGATCCTGGTCCGTCGATTTCGGAGGTTGGTGATAGCAAAGAGGAAGTTGATCATAAAGGATCAGTTGTTATGGATTTAGTAGAATTTTCTAATGTTTTATGAAATGTAATCATCAATGTAAAAAATAGTGATGTGACTCAAGATGTAATAGTTGATGATAAGGGAAATGTAGTAAGTAAATAAAACTTTGAGTGGTTTCGTAAATATCAACAAGTGATTTCAGTTTTATTGAACTTGCGTTGCCTAATTTATTTTCTCAATTGAGGTTAAGATACAAACAAAAAAGTATTAAGGTTGATAAAATATTGATAAATATTTCCCCCTTTGCGCACCCAATGCTAGTGGGTTGGTCAAAGTAAATATTTATGATCGGAGGTTAGACAGTAGTGACAGTTTGCAGGCGTGGTTTCCCAGTGGATTGTCAATGCGAGTTAGTCTATTATGGGAATGGTTATTGTTCAATTAACGACAAACAGGTGCCATGGATGGTGAAGTATCGACTTCAAAATTTGAATATTAAAAGGGGGATTACGTATTGTAAAATGAAGGGGTATCTAAAGTATTCTACGAGTGACATGCCAGAAGATTCGCAAATGAGGGCCCCCTCTATTGTTGTGTTATTATTGTTTGGAGGTTTGGGAAAAGTGGTTCAGTTATTCATGAACGCAGAGGTCATCTGACTTTGTCAGAGTTTGATGTACGCAGAGGTGGTGCTGACACTAGTGCTGTTGATCCTAGTCCGTCGATTTCGGAGGTTGGTGTTAGCAAAGAGGAAGTTGATCGTAGAGGATCAGTTGTTATGGATCCAGCAAAATTTTCTACTGTTTTACAAAATGTAATTATCAGTGTAAAAAATAGTGATGTGACTCAAGATGTAATAGTTGATGATAAGGAAAATGTAGTAAGTAAATAAAACTTTGAGTGGTTTCGTAAATAAAATTAATAAAAATTTTCATTAATCATGACAGTGGTTACATTAACATCAAACCATTCTCTCATTTTTGGGGACATTGTATCTAACCAACTACTGTCGCCATTAGTTAATGTAATACAAGGAATTTCTCCTTTAATAGTGAGATATGGTTGGAATTTAACAAATACAGGGAAATCTCTCTGGCAGCCTACTAAATTTTTCATTAATTCGGTGGGAATTGTTGAGTATTTGATGTCGTCTATGACGTTGTAAACGACGTCTTGGTCGTAGTCCTTGAAGCTTATTCTGCTGGAGAATGAATTGTGTCATCCGAGGCTTCTGGCCCAAGCGGTTTTGCCTGTTCTTGAGGGTCCTTCGAGGTAGAGGAAGATTGGGTGGATGGGCCTCTGTTCTGTTTCCTGTTATCAGATGAGGAGGAGAGTTCTTCATCAGTATATAAATTGTTGATATTATTTTTGTGTGTCCTTAATCTAAGGAAGTCGTCTTGCTTCCAAACGGAGAGACAGCAATTTTGACATAACTCGTACTGAACGAAATTTCAACTTACAAACAAAATATTATTTTCTGCCCATTTTTTTACTTCTTCATTTAAGAAAGGAAATGAATTAAAGGGGCTAGTATATGAGAGCATTTTTCTTTTGTAATGTTCCCTTGAAGATGTTTTTAATTGGGGATATTTTGTGACGTAATCGGTGGGACATCTTTCTTTACAGAGTGTAAAGAATTGTTCCTCCGTTTCTGCTTCTCCAAGTATTTCTCTCCAGAGTTCGTCTCTGTTTTTTGTCATGATTAATGAAAAATTTTATTAATTTTATTTACGAAACCACTTGAAGTTTTATTTATTTACTGCATTTCCCTTATCATCAACTATTACATCTTGAGTTACATCACTATTTTTTACACTGATGATTACATTTCGTAAAACATTAGAAAATTCTGCTGGATCCATAACAACTGATCCTCTACAATCAACTTCCTCTTTGCTAACACCAACCTTTGAAATCGACGGACCAGGATCAACATCACTAGTGTCATCACCACTGACCAACCCACTAGATTGGATGCGCAAAGAGAGAATATTTTATCAATAGTTTATCAACATATTGAACCTTGTTAAGGGTATATTAGGAGGTTGGTTCTTTCATTGGGCCTTTGGGCCCAAAATGAAAAAAAAACAGAGAGTTATGCTTCCTATTAGGGGTAGATGTGAACTTAATGGCCTGCAAAGCCTGCCCATGATCGTGGTTTATACCCGTAGGGTCGAATTAGACAATTTTTAAACGTGATTGTAATGCGATCATACTGAGCAGGGTTGATCTCATCTCAACCTATGTTATGTGTTTGGTAACGTTTACGTTTTTAGTTTATATTTACAAAAATTTTATAAACTGATTTTTGTTTATTTTTTGTTTATTTTTAAGAAAACATAAATTACAAACGCGTTTGGTAATTGACAAAATGTTTAAAAAATTTAAAAATATAAAAAAGAGTAAGAAATGACAAGTGGCGGCAGAAGACGGTGGTGGAAAATGGTGACGGTGGGTGGCGGGTAGCTGGTGGTGGATTTTCTTTTAGCTATTAAGTATCCAATCAAATGTATTTTTATTTTATTTTTTATTTTTTATATTTTTATCTTGTCAAAACTTAACTTATATTAAATTTTACTTCATCATGTTTAATTTGTTTTCCCCTCATAAAGTAACAAAATATATTGGAAAAAAAATTTGAGATTATTTTGAATCACAAAATATACTGTTATAAAACAGAATTCTACAATGTTTCAAAACATGCATACGAATATGTAATTCATTTGGACATTAACATTTTCTAGTAACACAAATCTCAACTATGTCATGGAAGCATCTCATCAACAGCAAGTTCACTCTCATCCAAAGACAATTTCAGTCAAGCAACCAAATATTTCCATTTAAAAAGATGGAATGAGTGAGGCCAATGTGATTTTCGCCAAATGGAACCCTTTTCTTTCATTGTTTGGTATTGTTCATACCAGGTTGTGCCTCAAATGAAAGATTATACGTATGGATTCACAATGGTGGACATTCCTAGATATTTTGTCTTCTCTAAATATATATATATATATATATATATTTATTTTTTCTCTACACTAAGAGGAAAAAAAATAGAAAACAATACAAGATTAATAAATTGGATTGCCATCTCAAGGAGAGATTTAGATAAAAAATAAATCAACAACCAATTCATCGACCAAAGAAGTTAGAATCCCCTTCTCAATCTCTACACCCTCTTCAAATGCTTCAGTTTCAAAGTCAACCCATCTCCCATGCCAACAGCTCATGTCTTTGTCAACAAGCTCATCCACCATCAAGTCTCCCATGCTTGCCCAACTTGAAATTTCTTTATGCAATTCCTCAGCCAACCACCCCTTCCTTTGAAACAATGTTGCCCATTTAACTGATGCTTTGAAGCTCCCGCCAAAGAACCGCTCACACCTTAATTCCAAACATTCACTCACACTATCGAACAAAACCTTCCGCCCAAGCTTAAAGCAGCCTTGTTCTACATCTTCATTGAACCCTGTTCTCTGATTCTCCAACCGATCGAACAGATTGGGAGTCATCACATTGTTGACCTGGCCTAGCACAAAATCATCGAGAATCAACTCTGCATTACAAAGAGTTTTTGTTATGAATTCCAATTCCCACTGGCAAGATCTCTTGAAATCTATCAAACTGAATGTAGTAGCAGTAACATCATTTCCACTCATGGAAGAAGCTGAATCTGATAACTCTGTCTCAACTTCCACTGGTAGGTGCTTGGCCAATAAAAACTGATTGCTGCCTGAAATGGAGCACCATCTATAATTAGAACATGAACATCGGTAAAATTTGTATATTGTTTTTGAGATAACTGAACTCGACAGGCCTTAGGCTCAATTAAGCATTTTTGTTTTGAGACAAGTCTAGATTAAAGTGTGAGATTTTCCTGTGTTTTGTCCCAATTACATGACTCCAGATAGATGAGACCAAAATGTGTTAATAAAGGAAACAATTACAAGCCATGTACAGATTTTCATAACAAATTTATGCACTTCCAAATTGACAAAATTTTACATCTTCCAAGTCAAATTTAGCTTTCATGGACATAATCCAGAAGTTTTGCCTAAAATTTTCTAACAATTCTTTTGAAGTATTCTCAATCAATATCCAAATATATAATTTATACATGTAATTGAATAGCGATAAAGAAACAAACAAAAGATACATGATTTCGTACTTTTACCATTGGTAATTGAACTGGTTTTGCTATCTGATGAGCAGCAACTTCCACCAGAGGAAGACGGTTCAAGACTTGAAACTGGACTAGGATACTGACAATCAAGTTCTTTTCCACGTCCACTGTTGTTGCTGCTACTGCTGTGCCCTTCCAGCTCCTCCAACCCCTCAAGATGTTGAAGAGAACTTTAGTAATTTAAGTGGTACGAGAACATTTTCCATGCATATATTTTAAATTTATTTGACATTGGTCTGAATCATGCCTTATTGCATGGGCACTCTGGTGTGTTTTTATTTCGTGAAACATGAAGTTCGTTTCTAGCTCCATTTTTTTTCCTTTTCTATTTTGGTTTTAGAAAAAAGGTACGTGTACAAAATGGTCCCTGGTGTGGGGATCTCAAACAGAAGCATGTGACCATCACAAATTTTACCAGCTCTGTATAATTGTTTTCATTTCATAAGGCATGCAGCTGATTTCTGGCTTGATTTTGAATGCCATCCAAGAAATATATATATATATATTTAAATTTTTTTGAAGAAAAAAAAAAAAGCAAAAAGAATTCAAGGTGAATCTCTAAAAAAAAAAATTCCTTGCTTCAGTCTCTTGTCAGATTATTGCATCTATGATGACACTTCTAATATTATTTATTGAAATAAGTTTGGTGGTGTCATTAGTATGTATTGAGGATATGAAATGGCTAACTTGGTTCAAGAAATGCAACAATTTATACAGGTAATCTGGGTCCAAGACCTTGAATCTGAGCAATAGACCAGTACAATCTTGTCTACAATTTCACTTACCTCAAAGCTGTGAAACACGGACACTTCTAAGAAGATAGCATGTTGTGTTAGACACATGACACTCAAGGGACACTTCTTGACCCTAGTCAAACACACTTTAAAATATGTCCCACAATTTTTAAAATTTTTCTAGACTCGGACACACTTTAGGCACTTGGAGAACATCACTTAGGTACATGTGAAATACAATACAAGTTTGAATAAAATAACATGAAATCCAATGATAAACGAAAAACAATGTAACTTTATACCTATTCTCCTCTAGAGTATAGAAATTAGTGTTAATTGTCTTTGAATTAAATAGCATTATACGTGACATATAATATGTGTTTATCCTTACATATGACATATAAATAAATATATAAAACTATATGCTTTGCGTGTGTCCTCCACTTGTCGTGTCCTACATTTTTTGAAAATTTAACAGTCGACGTGTCTGTGTTTTGTCACATGTCTGTGCTTCGTTGCCTTTTTTTTTTTTTTTGATTGGTCTTCTTAGCCTTATTTGTCTTATTTCTTAAATTCTTCATAGTGCCTTTATTTATTAAGTTGTTTGTGTTCTACTCTAAACTAGAACAAACTAGTTTCTACGATGCCACATTATGCCAAAACATCAAAATATACAGGATCACTATCAGCTTTGAGAATCAGCATGTACTAATTTAAACCTGTTCCACATGACTTAATTAACTGTTGAATCCATTGTGGACATTTCAGAACAAAGTTTAAACAATGAAAGATATAGATATAATAGCATATTGCTTCCCATTGATGAGAATCTCAATTTCATTGTCAATCTTATGAATTTGGCACAAAGGACAAAAAGCAACGCTTGACGATAAAAAAATAAAAAGTAGCTGCAGATGAAATCTGCAAAAAAAGATGCATACCTGGCACTTTTGATTAGCTTTGAGCAGCTTATCAACTGAAGAGCAATCAATGTCATATAGGCGGCTTGATTTATCTTCATGCAGATTAAGTTGAAAGCTATTTTCATGTTTTGGTGACACGGTGTTTATCATGTTAAGAGTGAACAGGGAATCTTGCAAACCAAGCGCAGAACAAACAGCACTCCCTGCTTCGACAAGGTTACATTGAGATGACTCAACTCTACATGTTAATTCCTTGAGCTTTTGCTCAAGAAGGACACTCAAAGCATCTCCGCCAATTACATTCAATCCCAAAGAAGACAACTTTTTTAACTCATTTGGATCATTGTCATCAGAAGAATCAACACAAAAGTGGGTATTCTTTTCCATGAGTGGTGCAGAGGACGTGAGTCCAGGAGCTGATCTTTTATTGGGAGACGTGAATGTAAAAGAAACAACATCCATGCTGCTTTGCCTGTCAACTGTGTCCCAGCTCATGCAACCATCACTCGCCACATTACATCTTACAGACGTTTGATCTTTATCACTCACTACGTTCTTAGCAACAATTTTTTGAAAGTTAATATTCTTATGGACAGGTTGTTTCTTTCCAGAAAGAATCTTTGGTTTCGATGACTGATGCTCCTTCCCAGAAACCTTCACCACTGAATTCATCTTCCTAGACCCAACCACCGAGTTCTTAACCTTATTTGGCCCAATAGAACCATTACTAGATAGGGCAAACTTTATGTTTTGCTGGTTGGAGACTGAAGCTTTCGAAGCCACCCTGTCTTTATTAGCCACACAATTCTGTTTCTGGTTATTCTGCCTGAGCACATCAGAAGTCCTGCCCATAGAAGTCCTCTTCTGCACAACCTTTTGCACATTTGTTTGGTTCTTTTTAAACTGACCCAGCTTAACCTCGTTACCTTCCTTTTGGTTAATTGAACCTTTAATACTACTTGAAGTGAATTCCTCTCTTCGTTGAACATTGACCTTCGCTTGGATTGCAAGAGATACTGATTTCCCCTTTTTCTTCAAATTGTCAGAACTATCTTTCAGTGAACCCGCAGAAGCATCAAACATCTGGTTCCTCTCACTATGCTGTCCTTTCATGTAGCTAACAGAATTGGGCTCTTTAGGCCTTCGAGATGCTTTTGGTGTGGACTCCATTCTCTCTTTCAAATCCCGAATTCTCAAGGGAATTGAGGAAGACCCAAAGTGTGGCATCTTACCCTTGCGTGTTGACGGAGGACCTTGCTCAATAATTTTGGCAGCTGCCTCCATTATGTAAGCAACGTTGTTTGTTGGGACAAACCCAGGACTCTTGATAGGGGACAACATCCTATGATGGGTAATTGGAATGGATTTAGCTGATTTTGGAGGCAATGTTTCAATTTGAAACCTCTCAATTGGCAGGTTATGTGTCTTCTGAATCCTTGATTTTACGTGATTCCTTGAATTCCCGTCAATTGGTATTTCATTTACAATGTGACACTCCATCTGAAAATTGGAAGTACTCCTTTGGGAATGAGAACCTCTAACAAAAGGAGAGTCACAGAATGGGGTAGAACAGGACTCGGAACTATTTGAATTAGGCAAAGAATCAAGTCCCATAAGCCTGGCAACTACACCAGGTGCCCTAGTTCCATACCCTTCATCACCACTCACTCTTGAAGCAAAATTAAAGTCACTACTTCCTTTGCCACTCAGACCAGGCCCACTCTCATGCCCCTCCATCTAAAAGTATTGCAATGGAAAACAAAACAATCAAAATTGTAATATCGTTCCATATCAGCAAATAGGAGAAAGAAAATGAAATATGAGAGAGATAGGAAGGAAGAGAGAAACCCACAAGATGAGGACAAAGTATCATTGAATTTGCAACATTTTCCTTTCCTTGCTTTGAATCTTCTGCAGCCAAGAACAGTATGTAAGAAAATTAGCAACTAAATGGAATGGTCAGCAGGAGTCTGGAAAACAGACAAGGCATCAGAAAAGAAAGAATAGAAGGATGAAAAAACATGCGCATGCTCATAATGTACAAGGATCAAAAGAAAACTTTACCTAGCAGTTCAGACTTGTTCGAGAACAGTTTCTTCCTAGATTTGACATTCCAGTCAAATAACTGAAGAAAACCTCCCTTCGAAGCTCGTTTCTCAATATCCATTTTCTCATCAATTCCTCGAATCACTTCAAGAATTACAAAAGCTCGAAATGAATCTACAATTTGGTACCAAATATCAGCATATGATTTAGTATGTTATGTATGTATGAGGTTAAGATTGTTATAATTGAAAGATGACTAGAGTAAGATTTGTGCGAAAATTGGAGGGTGAAAAATATAAGTTGCCCCTTCAACATTTAAATGTAATAATAAAAAAGAGGATCAAACAAAACCCATCTGCTATTTTTACAATACCGAGCTCTAATTAATCCATAGAGACATCTATGTTTTTGCATAGAGACATGAAATAGCGAGACTTCATCGACTAATTGCTCAATCCATGTCACTCCAAACAGCTATATTTTTGCATAGATACATGAAATAGCAAGACTTTATCCAAGACTAATTGTTCAAATCACCCAACATTGCCCAGACAGATAATCAAGTTCTTCCAAAAAACATTGTGAGAGAGAAGGCTAATACAAAACAATTTGGTTAAATTACACTTTTCACCTCTGTATTTCAATCCCTATTGCTTTAATTTGAGCAATATTAACCCTGACTTTAAGTTTGAGTTTCAATTTGATACTTATCCTCATGTAACAGACAGTGTAAACAAAATTGTGAAACTAAAACTTAAAGTCTAGGGCTAACATTGTTCCAATTGAAACAAAAACTATGGGTGAAACTGTAATTTATCCAAATAATTCTAAAAACCCATTTAGCTGTAAACTTGAATCATGCCCTCAGATTTTCATAAAGAGCTAAAAAACACAAACATACATTATACATAAACATAAATTTATATATCTGTGAGAGTGTATGAGAGCTTCGGACAGATGGGCAAGAATTTGATAATCAAGAAAGTCAAAAATAAAATAAAAAATGGAACAGATTCAATAAAAAACTGACCAGAAATCGGTCATCTGATCTGCAATGGGTTGAGAGAAATGGTTTAGGGTTTGTGAAGAAGGGTGATGAGACGAATGTAGGACAGAGACAGAGACAGAGACAGAGACAGAGATTGAAGACAAAAAGAAAGAGCTCAGCACAGCACCATAAAAGAGAGAGACAGAGAGAGAGAGAGAGAGAGAGTTGTTGAGATTTACTGGTACCTGCTACCAATTAGAGAGAGAGAGAGAGAGAGAGAGGGAGTTTTTGAAAGAGTGAAAGAGAAGAGTATAGTATAGTGTAGTGGAGTTTGTTACGAATGCGAGTATTTAACAAATTTGGAGAAAAGAAGGGCAAACAGACCACCGTCACAGATTAATTGGCAAGCAACTTGATTCAGCTTTTAAGGGTAAATTATGGAATGAAATTGTGGTTAAAAACAATTTTTTGTGATAATATTTTTATATATTATTAAAAATTACTAATTAGTTATTAGTGATTTTTTTATTACAATTTTTATTAATTGTCACTAAAATTTATAATTAGTAACTTTTTTTTATGACAATTTTTTTAAACTACTACTGAAAATTGAAAATTAATAACGATTTCTTGTGATGATTTTTTTAAATTGGCGTTAAAATTTAAAATTAGTGACTTTTTTGTGATAATTTTTAAATTATGATTGAAATATAACAATTAGTAACTTTTTTAATAGTATTTAATGAAAAATGTTATTAATTCTCACATGACTTATTAGACAATAACTTCATCTATTAAGACTTACACATAAATCCCCTTAAAATAAAGGAAGGCTCCCTCCATACTCTATAAAACTTTATTTTCCGAGCTCTATTCTAGATCTACATTAATAACCTAAACTATTCATCTTGTATAATCTCAATAATTTAGATGAGTTATGTAAAAAATTAATTTTATTAGATATCAATAAATATATGAATAAATTGCATTTTTTTAAAAAATGAACAGTAATTATGAATTTAAACTTAAACATTTCATTCTATAAAATAAAAAGTGATTTGTTTATATATTCATTAATATCTGATGAAATTGATTTTTTGCACAGACGGTTTTCATTGTGAGATTTACAAGATGAACAGTTTAAATTATCATTGCGAGCTTAGAATGGAGCCCAAAAAATAAAATATGAAGAAGTATAGAGGATAAGAATATGGAGGGGAGCTACACCCTAAAATAAACAATGCTACCTCCACCATCGCATTTTGACTTGTCCAAATTATTTGAATTTGTGCATGTTAGTCATCCGAGCGAATGCCGATTGAAATGCCAAATTACGAGATTGACAGTCGCAATTGACAAGGGTGACAATTGCGGTTGAAAAGGGTGATGTCGGTCATCCAACTTAACATAATTCAGACAATTCGAGTGAACCAAAATTCGGTGGATCAATCATTTTTCTAAATAAAATATATTAAATGATAATTAATTAAGCCTATTTGATAATTACAATTGATAAATACCTCTTAAAATGTATACTAAAAGTTTAAAAAAATGAAATCATATAAAACTTACTTAATTATGAATGAATTTATAAAATACTAAATATAACCGTCGATATACACTATTATAAACTCCTTCCATCACCACTATTATCATCACCACCATACCACCACTACCACCATGCCACTGCCACCATTGTTATCGCTATCACTATCACAATCACCACCACTATCATCGCTACCACCACCGCAACCACCATCATGCCACTACCACCACCACCACCACCATTAACATGCCACTGCCACCGCCACCGCCACCGCCACCTCCACCATCACTATTATGCGACCACTACCGATATAGCGACCCTAATTTTCTTAAGTCATTTATTTAGGCCAAGTTTGGGAAGACTAAAAAAGTGCACTTTTTGTCTTTTTGGACTAAAAAATTGAGGTTGAAAATATGGATGTTTGGGTTAACTTTTTGACTTTTTATTGAAAAATGTGTAATAAAAAATTGTAAAAATTGATTTGTAGAGAAAAATTTGAATTGGGAGTTGTGCAGCCAGAACTGGACACGCCTGAGATCTGTCACTGAGACGCACAACCCCAGATCCCTGCAACTGGAAATGTAGCGACCCTAATTTTCTTAAGTCATTTATTTATTATTATGATTATTATTATCTTATTTTATTTTTGGCTTTATTACTTGTGTGGTCACATGAAAATTTAATGTGGTATTTAATGAATTTAATGTGGTAATTAATTAATTTAATGTGTTATTCAATTATATAAAATTAATCTAAATATTTAAATATTTATATTTGTTATATATAAAAAAAAAGAGAGGTGTTATATATATATATATATTTATATTTTTATATATTATAATTATGTTGTATTATATAATATAATATATTATAATGGTTTATTAAGTTAGAATAGAATTAGGTTTTAGTATAATATTATATAAAGTGAATTAGGTTAGATTATGGATCAGGGAAATCAGAGAAAAGATAAGTGAATTTGCAAGGTGAAGGCAGCCGGGGGAGAGGGAGGGAGAGAGAGAGAGAGAGATTGAGAGAGAACAGTGAGGGACGGCGAGAAAGAAAGGGAAAAAGGAAAAAAAGATTAGGGTTTTGTGACTTCATAAATTTTTTTAAATATTTCTTTGATCTTCAAAATAACATTGTGAGTACAAAACTCACTTCCCTTGATTTATATTTAATTCGTTATTTTATTTATTTATTTATTTTTATTTGTTTGATGTTAGTTTAATTTTATTTTTACATAAAGATGATAAATTAATTTTAATTATTTTGACTAGTTGTGGATGTAAGATTTAAGATTTATAGATGATTGATTGATTTTAATTACTTTGATTAGTTGTGTAGGTAAAGTTTAGGGTTTTTAGTTGATTGATTAATTTTAATTATTTTGATTAATTGTGTATGTCAGATTTAGGATTTTTATATGGATTTATTTTATGATTGTAATCTCCCTCATGGTTATATGAAACAAAAATTAATATGGTTATATGAAATTAAAATTAATTAGGAATCCATAGATAAATTCCTTATACTCCACCATGACTCCATGGATTGTTATTTTATTTGAGTGATGGTGAGAAAGAGTGCATAAAAAAAGTGAGGATTATGAGATTTATTTGAATGCCTTAGGCTCGGCATTGTTATGTTTATTCTCATGTGTGAGATGTTGTGTATATATATATTGTTGCCTCGTTCTCATGAGTAGACGAGTGCTTTGATTTACGCGCGTACGTATATGCTAACCATCCGGGGAGTGTGAGTCAAACTCGGGACGATATCCCCGTGCAAGTTTGGTTTCGGAGCGGTGTTAGGTATACAAGAGGCACATGGGATATATATGTGTAGGCCGGAAGGGGAAAGTCGAAGTGGTGGAGTTAAAGGAACAAAGGATTTAATTATGAATTTATTAATATAGTGTGAATGGTACTGATATGTACATGATAAAAAAAATAGTAAATGATCTTGATAAATTATGAAATTCAAGCAAAAGCATGTATACGTGATTCTAGACAACTTTTGTGTTTTAGCTTTTTATTAAAAAGATCGATTAGAACTTATAATCGGATGACCTTGGTTATTGTCGGTTTGATTCATTTTGGTAATGCAGATTTTATAGGCTGTTTTAACCCACAAAACGAGCTCATTTTTATTGGTTTCGCGTAAACTGAAATAAAACATTATTCTTCACACTTTTCGTGTTTTGAAATTTTTCGAAAAAAATCATCTTAGGGCAGTTTTTTGTTCGTTTTCAGCTTCAGATTTTTCGATTGAATTCTGTCTAGATTTTTATATCAAGTTTTTCTCTTAACCTGTTCAGTTTCTGTTAAATTCGTTCACATTGTCTTTTAGGAAATTTGATTCTATACAACTTTCGTTCTTTGAGTTTTGATCAATTCGAATTATTTAAGTATGAAACGGTGTAATTTTATATTTTTTTCAACAAGTTACTTATGATTAAATTATACTAACTTTATTTGTTTTGCAGGATAGTGGGTCTTACTAACTTTTTTTATGCAGAGCTGACCCACCATATTTTTATTTCTATTTTGTCTATTTTATAATAAATTTATATTTCGTTGTATACGGACAAGAAACTAAACGCCACCGTATCTCGGGAAACTACCCATTCGTCTCGGTGCAGTTGGAACTACTTGTCTTGTCCCGTGATAAGAATTAAATGTATTTTTGTTTGTGTCTGGTGGTCGCGTGGGTGTTAAATATTGTACTCATATCAGTATATTTGTATACTGACCCGCTTTGTCTCTTGGCAACTCGGGTGCGTTCTGTTTGAGCGCAGCTGAGCTTCCTTTGCAAGATTAGTAGAGGCTTTGGTGGTGACAAGAAATAACTGTGATCGTAGGACATGTCGTTTGGAGTTCTTTTATTTTTCTTGAGCTTAGGATTGATACTAATTTATGTATTTATTATTTTCTTTTAATGACTTTAGTATTGGAATAATTTGGCATGGTTTGTAACCGTACTTTATTTAAGTTGTTTTGGCTAGTTGTGCTACTTTAATGTTGGAGGTATTTGATAGTTGTAAAATTATGGGAGATGTTTTGGTTAGCGTTTAGTTTTGTTTCGCCCTTAAGATTTGGATGATGGAATATTGATTGGGGTTAGTTCTAATATAATATTTAACTATCACTGCTACTGCTGCCATTACCACTACCACCTTCATCACCATTATCTTTGATCTCCAACAGTTTCATCAAAACGATATCAAATTGAGAACAAGCCAAAACTTTCACCAAAATGAGGACCTGGATCAGATTTCACTATTTTACTATGTGTTTACTATGTGTTTACGTTAGAGGTGGGTCCCACAGGACAACCGGTCGGCTATCCCACCGGTCGTCCGTTGTATACAAAAAATGCAAAGCTATTGTGCAGTGCATCAACAGTTGGTCGTCCATTGCTACTCTGCTTTTTCTTGATTCTATATGATCATCCTATTCTTTGCTCGCAATACATTTTCATTCACTCGTTTAACCTTCGCTACTACATTTCTTCTTCTCCTCTTCTCAACCCACCTCTCTCTCTCTCCTCCAACTCTCGATCGACCATCAATCTCTGATTAATGGGTATGCAAGAAATTATCTGTATAATAAGAGTTTTGAACTATTTAATCGAATATGACGAAGTGAGGACTCGCTTGATGATTTCACAGTTTTGACTCTTTCGAAAGT